CAAGAAAGGACAAAAATATAATAAAGCACGGGTTAAACCCATCTTTGCTCTCATTGAATGGCAGATTCCATGATTCCAGTAGCTTGCAGCTAGTAGTTTGCATAGACTGTAAGTCACCAGGAATGTAGAGCATTTGTCTTAACTTTCTTACTCTTCTCTCACAATTATTTTTTTCTTTAGAGAAAAGGTCTATTAAATACTTTTAAAAAAAACACTTTAGCTCCACGATTGCGACCAATAAGAAGTACATGATCTTCTATTAGCTTAACCTGGGTAGCTATATTATTACGTTGTTCCTATCATTGTGTTTAATTGGCACCGAAGGCGTTTTTTAGTGCTTCGCTTATCTAACTTGAAATATTGAGCCATATAGCCGCACGGAAAAACCGAGTTGTTCGCATGAGTAATCTACCTATCGGCCGAGCTTTGACTCATAGTGACTGTCGATTATGCTGCGGCTGATAATCGGCAATTGTAGAATCATGAAGATGTTCTACTTTTTACACCTGGTAACTATATGTTTTAAGATAGCGACTGCTTTGGAAATTTACGTGAGCTTCATTCCATGTAAATGTGGCTCATTGGCTATTTATTGGAGGTATTTTGGCAAAGATGAATGAAAACTAACTTAAACTGAAAAATTATTAAAAGCTGTATACTTTTCTCAAGAAGTAACGTCTTTATTCCTTCTTTATAATAGGCTTCCTTAGTATATGTTCCTCTTGTTTGAACTTTAATCATCTATGCAATCGTTCTTCTAATAAGCTGCTGCTTATATGCAGCATTTTGACACACTATTATGTAATCAAGGGACGGTTATCTTAAAACGATGAGATACTATCAATGCTGAAAAATGAAACTTTCTTTCCTTGATCATAAGTGGGTGGTAACTGCGGTCAATAGGATTTACTCAATTCCTGCATATGTCTCTGGTTCAAGGAAGGTTAAGGAATGGAGGAGATCATTCCCCAAAAACCTCGAAATTGAAAAAATAATATAGGTCTTAGCGGTTCAATTTAATTCTAAAATTAGATATATCTGATGGTGATTGGCAAGTGAGACGAGCTAACTCGACCTTTGTTGATTTTTGTCGCTATTTGATAGCTATCTTATCTTTTTTTCCACCAAGTACTACAACTTCAGCGAGATTTCGAAAATGAATCCGATAGCTCACATTTGAAACACAATTACACATTGTTAAGTAACGTAAGTGATATATACTATTAATCATGGTTCCTTCCTCAATCTTTTATCTTCTACAAATAAATCACCTGTGTTAAAATGATGTACGCGAAAGAGAACCTTTCAAGATTGTGTGGCTCTTTCAGCGAAATGAATTTAGAAGCAATCAATTAAATGCAATGGGGCAACGAAATTTGTGAGTTTGCCCTTCCCCACAAGAAACAGTTAATGGCTGTGCGTGGCAATATCAAGACCTCACGGTCCTCTCCTTAATAGATAAGTAATTGAAACCATTATTACCGCGTATCGCCTCTGGACTGTATGTAATTTATATTGCTTGTTTAGAATCCGTGCGGATGCATTTGAATGGTATATAAAGAGCGGTATCAGAATCCAGAACCAGATCATAAACCTACTAGCAAAGCAATTAATCGAAATGTCTCTTTCCTCTATAAAGAAATCACCGAATGAAATAGGACCGGTTTTGTCACAGGTGCCACAGGTTATGTTGCAGGATGGATTATCAAGGAGTTGTTAGAGTCCTGAATCACTGTACACGCCAGCGTAGGTGATATTTCTAACCGCAATAACTTCGTCATCTCGATCGCTTGAAGAATCAAACCAGCGGTAGTTTGAAGTACTTCAAGGCGGACTTATTGGAAGTTGGTTCGTTTGCTGAAGGAATGAAAGGCTGTAAAGTTGTCTTCCACACCGCTTCTCCTTTCACGTCAAACTTTAGTGATCCTCACAAGGATCTAGTAAACCCTGCAAAACTGGGAACGAGAAACGTGTTGGAAACTGCGAATAAAATAGATTCGGTGACCAAGGTCATCTTGACCAACAGTTGCGCGGCAATGTATGGAGACAACAAGGACCTTACTTCCCTTCCGAATGGTACCTTGGACGAACCCGTATGGTATTAAACATCCTCCTTGAGCCACAATGCGTATTCCTATTCTAAGACTGTTGCTGAAAGGAGGCCTGGGATATTTATGAAAGACAGGATAAGTGGGAGCTTGTTGTTCTTCATCCTAGCGCCGTTTTTGGACCGGGTTTAAATCCGAATGCAACATCTGAAAGTTTCAATGTTATGAGGTCATTTGGAGATGGGCTGATGAAGTATGGTGCACCAAATATGGGAATAGGAGTTGTTGATGTGAGAAACTTAGCAGTCGCGCATTTAAAGGCTGCTCGACTACCCACTGCACTTGGCCGGTATATAATTTCTGGTCACAATACCTCATTCTTAGACATCGGAAAGCAGCTGCTACCTGAGTATGAATCTTATCCTGTTCCTATAAATGCGTTACCCAAAGCTTTAATTTGGCTAGTAGGTCCTCTTATGAACAAGAATCTTACAAGAAAATTTGTTTGCAATAATGTGAACTACTTGGAAAGCAAATAATTCGAAGGCAGTTAACGAATTGCGGATTGAGTTTCGACCTCTCAAAGAGACAGTATGAGAATTTTTTCAAATGTTAATAGATAATAATCGAATATAACATAGTATAAGCTCAATTAACAAATGTTTCCTTCTAAAGACTGTCTCATTTATAAATTAGTAGAAAAATTGAATATACTTCATACTGTAACTTAATAAAATTTGCGAATAATGATATTTGAAACAAAATAGCTTAAATCGTTCACGACGAGAAGCTAGAATATAATAATGTATTGTTTTTACTTTGAATTCTTCATGTTATTCACACACGCTGTGATTTTCAAAGAGCCTTCAGGCGCCACGACAAGAGATAATAAAAGTTAAGTGGCCCACGCTAGAGTAGCTTTCACTTAGACTTAAGTCGTAATTTGATGCAGAATCCGGTTTTTGTCAACTAATCGACAACAACGGCGTATAAATGGATTTTCTTCCTTGACTTCGAACTGGAGTAAAAGAATTTGCATGAAAATTAATGCATTGTAGTATCTTCTCTTAGAAATTCTTCTTTTATGATTTCCTAGAGTTATCTTTTTTTTATTTGAGCGCTTGAATTTATGCTCCATACGACGTTCTTTCATTATTCTACATTTTTTACAATCCATTTCACAATTTTTGATGCTAAAAGATAGATCATGGCAGTCTGTTGTTGAGCGTTTATCGAAATCCCTTTTTCTAGCACATTTAGAGCCACATTAACATGCGGCTCTGAAATTCCTGAATTATCGAGTACAGCATTCAGTAGCCCTTCTAAAAGAAGGACTTGATGACGTAAGGAGAATTTGCAGCAATCGGAAGAAGATGTCGCAGATTTGTCGAAGGAGCGTTTGTGCTGTGCAGGATGGTGTTATCTTCGCTAACACTTTTGGAATAGTAGATAAAAATTGCGAAAAAAAAAGAGAGGAAGAATTGTCGCCTAAGAGTTCACTTGACGCCTCTGTACACTTCATTCCTGGCATCCTCTTAACGCATTCCTCGAAACCCCCATCATCATATTGGTGAAAGACATAACGATTTTATTAGTTCTCGTAAGGATTGATAGTGTAGAGTGATAAAATGCGAAACGAACATCACTCATACTCCATATTTGTGAGCTCACCGTTAGAGGGAAGAATCTCCATCCTTGTCCCTGATATTAAAGCGATGTGTTAATAACGACTCTAACTAAGTAGCCATGATTAAGTATTCCTCGTTGCGTAAATCAGCTGGTAACCCGGAACACTATAACCTTCTGAATCACCTTTACCACAACTATGATGAGGCCATAAGGTCAAGTAGATATGACAATTAACATATAAATTCTGAAGAACTATCAGTTTATGGTACATTTCAATATTAGGTGAATCACAATGTCCCCGCTAACAAAGTAAGCAACAGATGTACCAGCATAAGTTTTCTCATCGTGTCCTTTGGCATCTAATGCACCTACTCTCTTAACTAGGATATTTCTTTTATCGATTTTACACATTCATCTAGCTAATAGTGCATTGCCTTCGTTTATATCAGTTGAATTACCATCAGTATCATAATATCCTCCCAATAACTTTGGCTGTAATTAATATCATTAATTGGAATATTGCTATAATATCTTTGTAAAATACAAGCTTCACTGTCATCCGAAGAGAAAATTTGGACTTATAATAAATGGGTATGTTTCTGTTAAACAGTCTTCAGGTTTTTTCATAATTAGTTTGGTTGTTTAAATTTGGGTTGCTATCAATCGATAGTTTGACTACATTTTCTTCAATACGTGTCGGCGATGAGGGAGGAAATAAGTAGGAGTCAGATTCCTTACCAATTTGTCTCCCTTGACTTACTAAAATTAGGATTCCTGAGAAGCCAATACGAACAACACAAAAGAAAGAGCCAAAAAAAATTGCCTAAAAAGTTATAAAAGAGGTTCCATAGCTACTCTTCCCCCATAAGCGTTCGCGAGGATACCACAGCCTTGCCACATTCCTTGCCATTTCTCTAGATGCCCTCTCAGAAGACACCATTGGAAGACTGATCCTTGAAGCTAAAAGCAACTTACGAAGGTGTGGACTTATTGTAAAGCATTTATTTCATTTTTTTATACTTGAGATATTCTTGAAATCATTTTTGAGTGATTCAGACCTTGTCTTGGATTCTTTTTCAAAGAATGGAACTTCACCTAAAGTAGTAACTCTATACCCTTCCCTGAAGCCACCGTAGTCAAAAGTACCGGTGTGAAATGTAGAACGGTTGTCCCAAATCGCCACATCATTTTCTTCCCACCTAATTCTTACTTGAATATCATGATTTTCTGTCAAATGGCGAGCCAAAAATTCAAGAAGTGCATCAGATTCATCAATATTTAATTCATTTACGTATTTGTTGTGTATTATACTGAAATACAAAGATCTCCACCCTGTGACGGGGTTAGTGCGAACAAGAGCATGATCCGAAGTGACTTTACGACCAACATTTTCTAAACCTCTTTCGGTTTTGTATTGTTCACCAGAAGCATCATTAAATTGAAGTAGATTAGAAGTCCAATCTGAATGAATTGTTAATTTTTCAAAAAATTCAGCCAAAACTGGAGTTAATTTTTCATATGCGGCGTATCCACTAGCCCATAATGTATCACCACCTCCATCTGCAGGTACTTGTTTTATTTGTAACGCACTGTAGTCGGCCGGTCTCTTTTCATAACTAAGATCAGTATGCCATGTGCCCGTTCCTCTTTGAGTTCGCTCTCTTTTGCCCCCTTTATAAACATCATTGAGGTCAGAGAATATTCGTACAAAGTTATCACCATATTTTGTCCTAGTGGTCATGGGATGCACATGAAAGACAGCTTCTTGCTGGCGTGTCAATGAGCTTAATTTTGAAACTAGGAATAAGTGCTCCTCTGGTGTGATATCTTGATCTCTAAAAAATAAGACACCTCTTTGTGATACGTATACCGCTAAATCTAGCAAGAGCTCATCAGCATTAGCTGCTTGGATTATGTTCCTTAAATTAATGCTTCCCTTAAGAAACTCAGTACCGATTGCAGGAGTAAGGTCACGCTTTTCATTTCTTTCGAACAGATTTTGGTACTTAAAAGGTCCAGTTTTGTGTTGTTCTTCAACAGGAAAGCTAGCTCTTACCGAAGATGACGAAGATGACGAAGATGAAGTTGTAGAAGTTGATTTGATGCCCATTTTTTTAGCCAGTCTCTAGGTTGAAACTAAGGTTGACGCTATTATCAGTTCTATTATTTATTTCTATTCATACCATATTTATATCTTGTTTATATAAAGCCACAGTCTTATGCTATGATGCACATAGTTGAGGGAATAACTTGCCTACTGCCGCTTAATTAGGCATATTCGGCACATCCCCGAAAAGTATTTTCATATTCGGGGAACATGAGAATTGGCCCCGTCGCATACCTAATCTATATTCACCAAGATCTCTCTTAAGAATCGTGAAATGGCGATATTCTACGGCATTAGTCCTAATTTTTGGAATCAAGTTCTTTTATTGCAGCATGAGTCTCGGGGATCACTCGTATCAAAACAAAATAGTATAACAATTCTTATTGCTTAAAAGCATCAAAGATCCCTGAAGAGATACGGAATTGACTCTGGAGCGAACTTGGGTTGAACTAAAGAGCAATCAGAAAGCGGAGATTACTATAAATTGTGATCGATGGAGATGAGCAGAGAAGAGAGTAAATCAGATATTAAGATACTGGAAATAGCGTCATCGGAAGAAATAAACAAAGAATTTGATGTTGCTTTCAAGTTCTTAAAAGAGAATGGTCACGAACTTAAGGATATTCTGAGTTTCAAATTATCACCACAATTACTAAGAAAGATAGATTTCAGAATAATTCCAATCCTTTGCATCATATATTTTTTGCAGTTTTTAGATAAAACTTTATTAAATTACTCTGCTGCCATGGGTATCAAAGAAAACCTTCAAGGAAATGAATTCTCCAACTTGAGCACTATTTTCTATGCTTCGTATATTTTTGCAGAACCGTTTGCCTCTTATTTTTTGCAAATTTTCCCAATATCAAAGGGCCTTGGTGTTGGAGTAATATGCTGGGGAATAGTGTTATCATGTCACTCTGCTTGCAAGACGTATGCTTCCTTGATGGTTGTAAGGTCCTTGCTAGGAATTTTCGAATCGTGCTCAGCTGTCGGTATTATTTCAATTTCTGGAATGTATTATACAAAACCAGAACAAATAAGTAGAGTGGGGATTTGGTCAATTCAGAGTGGGACGGGTACTATTGTTGGAGCGCTCTTATCATTTGCGTTTCAGCATGTTCATACAACGAGATTCACTTCGTGGCAAATATTGTTCCTTGTTGTTGGTATTTTAACATTTTCTTTCGGAGTTTTCGTATGGTTTTATTTACCTGATAATGTTACTTCCACATCATTTTTAAATAATGAAGAGAAATTAATGGTTCTTGAGCATATTAGGCCTAATAAGACTGGAACTGAAAATAAGCGATTTAAAAAGGAGCAAGTTTATGAGTTATTGTTTAAGGATAAATTCACTTGGCCGATGTTATTGTTAACCATGACATCTCAAATAGTTACTGGTGCAGTTGGCACATATAGCGTTACTGTTATTGGTACATTTGGTTTTAATAATTATGCATCGGCGTTGGTACAAATTCCAATTGGAGTAATTATTATAATAATTATATTTGCTAGTAGCCAATTGGTTGCTCATTTTGGAAGAAGAACTTTTGTAGCTATATCTATGATGGTTCCATCCATTGTGGGTTCAATAGCTCTCTTGTGCCTTCGCTTAGATCAAAAACTTGGCAACCTATTTTCACTTTATCTCCTTTACAGTGGATCTAGCGTACTCGTCTTGATATATGCCTGGAATAGCGCAAATACAGCGGGATACACGAAGAGAATGTTCAGAAACGCTCTAACATTGGTTTTTTTCTCGCTTGCATCTTTAATTGGTCCACAAATGTTTCAAGCATATTCTGCCCCTTCGTATGTTCCAGCTAAAATCGCTATTTTGGTCACACAAGCTGTCTCAATTCCATTACTTCTTCTTATAGGTTACATGTCAAAAGTAGAAAACAAAAAAAGAGATGGAGAAATGAAATCACATGAAGAAGGGTCTTTAGAGTTTTTAGACTTAACTGATATTGAAAATAGAGATTTTAGGTATTCTTATTAATTTGTTTTTAGAATGTTTAAATCAAAGCTATAGTCCATATTCCAAATAGAGCAAAATTAAACACAATACATTTCTCAAAGTTCGGGGAGCAGGTGTGCTCCTTCCGAAGTATAAAAATGCATAGATTTTCAAATCATTTAAAGAGTAGCGTAGCTTGAAACTACTGAAAATAAAAATATAAAAATAAAAAAACAGATATAAACTAAGAATGGCTGAAAACCCGACACTTACCTTGTATTCAGCTGGTACTCCAAATGGAAGAAAAATTACAGTATTCCTTGAGATATTGAGAATACCACACACATATAAAAAAATTGACATATTCAAAGGCGAACAGAAGAAAAAATGGTTTCTCAAGTTGAACCCGAATGGTCAAATTCCAGTTATTACCGACTTTGATGAAAAAGGAGATGAAATTACCATTTTTGAAACAGGAGCTATCCTAGAATTTTTAGCTTTTAAATATGATTGCAACAATGAAGTATCTTTTAGATTTGGTACTCGTTTGTATTGGGAACAATCAAAATGGTTAGCGTTTCAGATATCGTCGCATTCTCCATTACAAGGTCAGCTTAGTTATTTCATGAACTTTGCTCCGTTCAAGGACCAACCGGCAATCGAAAGATATCATGAAGAAACAAGACGTATATTTGGGGTATACGAAAGGAGACTTGAAGAAAACAATGGGTGGCTTGTAGGCGATCGGTTGAACGTAGCAGATATAGCCGCATACGCATTTATTCGGCGCCATGATTTTGTGAAGGTACTGTTGGACGAATTTCCTTCATTGAGAATTTGGTTAGAAAATATCAACCAAATTGATGGCGCAAATAAAGGTTATCTATCTGCCTAAATCTGCTGCTTTCTTAACAAAGCATGAGGTATACTTTGTACGAATATGTCTACACCGGACCAGTGAAATTATTGGCTTTTAAAGAAAATATTAGATTATATTATGTACCCAGTAATATGCAACACTACTTTGTTGTATTGTAACCTAACTTTTTAAACGTAGCTCCTTGTCTTATCTGAATAGTGAGACACAAGCACCAGGACTTATAATATATGCGATCACGAGCCTTGAGTATTAAAGCCACATTTTATAGCTTATGTCTCGTGCGTTTTTGAACTTCTACCGATCATCCACACAGTGAAAACATTGATTTTCCATTAAATTTTAATATTTGATGATAGTAACAATAAATCAAGATGTCCTCAAAAGTGGCTTTCAGAGCTACCAATGCGTGTGAATTTTGTAGAATAAAAAAGATACGATGTGATGAAAAGAGACCCTGCACCAACTGCTTAAAGAAATCAATTTCGTGTAACTATCAAAGAATAGCAATTCCAAGCAAGGTAGAAAATAATATACATATTTTAATGGAACGATTGAATTCGATTGAAAGCAAGCTTGAAGAAGTGTTGATAACGTGTAATACTAACATAATAACGAAAAACGAGTCGGTGAATTCTAATATTGAGCCTAAGGAGGAAAACAACTTACCAAATATAGAAGAAGGTTTTGATTTTTTGAGTGATATTGACAAGATATTCATTGACGAATTCGATATGTTAGATGCCAAAGACCCATATATAATACCCTTGTATGAAAATAATAAGAAGGATGTTGGTTCTACCTTGAAGAACAAGGCTAAAGATGATAAAATATCGTTTTCAAAGGAAAACATGTATTCCTTTAGAAGTCGAATTAACGTGGAAAGTTTGGCAACCATTGATTTAAGTGATACCACAATAAAGTCTTTGATTAATTCTTATATGAATGTCATCTCTTCTGCTTATCCAATCACAAATGAGGATGAAGTTGAGAGACTTCGTATGCATGTATTTGCAAATGGCCTCGGAATGAATACCAATAGTTGTATTTTTCTACTAATCATGGCTTTAGGTTGCATATCAAATGCCTCTGATGATAATGAATACTGGATTAAGAGTGACTATAAAAATCCGAAAATTGAAAAAGTTGCGCCTCCACCTGGATATGATTACTTTTGGTTAGCACTAAGTATGACTGGTCAGATATTATCTATTGAGAAAATTGGTTTCAACACTGCTTTGATTCGGTTACTTATTTCCTTATATTATCTTCACATTGGACAGCTTTCTGATCATTGGACTGAGCTCAAAAGTGGGATAAATGAAATTTTCAATATTGTTAGTAACCCTCAAAATACAGAATTCAATTCAAATTTGATGATACAAATCTACTGGGTTTATGTACACCTTGAAAGAAATATATCAAATATAGGAAATCTAGAGCGATCTTCCTTATCAACATTACAAGAAAGCGTTCCATTACCAAAAGATACCTACATCCATACTGCCTTTGGAACTGGACGTATGAATTGTAGCTTCTTCATGCAGAACATATTACTCTCAAACATTACCGATAAAGCTTTTAAATTATTGAGCAATATTGAAAACTATTCGGTTAATGAAGTTTTTAAAATTTTTAAGAAATTTGAGGAAAATCTTGATAAATGGAAGCAATCCTTACCGTTTGAAATGAACTGGGAATCTGAATTTATAATCAAATCGAAACGTCCTCCTAATGGTTTGCAATTCAGATATTACGTTTGTTATATTTTGCTTTGCAAGCTTATATCAAAAAAGCTATTAGTGGAATCTGAGGTTCCTTCACAGACCATAGTTTCCACTATTTATAAATGCATTTCATTTATCATAAAGGCAGTTTGTCTGTTCTCTCAGATGAGCGTTGGGGTTTTGAACCCAAATATCACCTTTAAAATAGCTGCTACATTAAACATGTTCGTCGAATGTAAGTCACTTATTAATTATGAAGAGTTCAAGAAAGAGAATTCAATTTTGATATCAACGTTTGAGCTTAGCGTTACTAAAAGTATGTGGCGAATACGAGCATTTGCTCTACATTCACCATTCATCGACGCAGAGTATCAAAGATGCAAAAGAAATTTTGCTGAGATAATCGCTCGTTATGAAGGTTGAGTCAAGGACAAAAGAAAACCTTGAGAGGTCGAGAAGGCTGTCATACAGATGACACTGTTATTATTGTGCCGTTTACTTAATTTGAATCTGATAATTAGAGGTCAAGTAGAGAAAAGTTAGATTCTTCGTATCGACGTACTTTTAACTCGAATATTATTTTTTTTTTCGTTAAATGATTCTATTCAAAATCAAGTCAGTATTTAAGCCAAAACGAATATTCTCAGCTACTAATTTTCCGTAACCAATATTGTTTGTCTTGCATACCAGCCCATATGAGTAAGCTACATCATTTAGAAAACAAAATAAATAGGATATATGAAGCTCCCCTTTGAAAATGCCCAATCCAGTCATTGCAACTTTTCATCCTTTTGGAAGTAGACCTCGGAGCGATGAGGAAAAGGGAATCGATATCGTACATATTTAGTAAGGTTTCCAGTTAAAATGTTAGTTATTTTTATCATTGCATTCATATTATTTTTTATGTTTGTATGATATTATAACTGGTATATTTATCCAAAATAGAACAATCAAAAGACAAAGAAGTTGTAGGTAAATGACATTGTCTTAGTGATTTCTTCATCTCTTTTCGGAAAGAGTACACTGTTGTCGCTTGAATCCGAAAACAGAAATAGAGAAAAAAAGAATCGATCAAGGTACATTATCCTTGACAAGTTCAACAAACAGCTACTCGAGTCGCGACAAATTACTCTTCTGTGAAATTATGCCCCAGGCGTATGCGACCGAATTTGGATGGCGTTACTGCCAAATGCACCAGGGTAAATGCCCTTTTTGTGTAACTATGTATTTATTTTTCAAATACTTAAGATTTAATCGTAGATTCGGGTCGAACATCTAATAATAACTAGTTTTCTGATCAAGAGCATTTTTGTTTCAATTCACTAATGATAGGTCGAATTGGAATAAGAGGAGGGGTAGAGAATTAAGGAAAGAACCAAGATCGAAAAATGAATACTTGAAAAGCTCCATTAACAGCACAATAGTGCACTATTCATTGGCATTTTCCCTGTTGCTATACTTGATCACTGTGTGTTAATGCTCATTCCTCGTTCTTACTAGACGTATGTTGACAAAAGGTCATTCGACATGTAATTAAAAACTAATATGCATGTCTCTTTTTTTACTATAGCCTCTGCCTATGGGCGCACCAAAATCGAGAGATATGACAGCTTGTAATGAGAGGGTGCATGACCTTCCCACTTGAAAGAATTTCTGCGGAAGGTATGCCATTTGCGAGTTTGTTCTATATCTATTTGGGCACGTATTAACTAATAATAACATGCAAGATATCTTTCAGGATACTCTAGTGATCTTTTATGTTTCTTTTATATAGGTTTTATCTCCACGATGGATATTTTCTTACGCGTCATGTCAAAAAGAATACACGGCTCATTCGGCTCATTGGAAACCTTAGTATCCTTTTTTCGAATTTATGGAAATCCCTTAAGCATTATTACACGAACGAATAAAAATCGACTTATATTTCAGGGAGTGTCGGTTCTAGGTGATGGCACTTATATTTAAAAACGTTAGAACTTTTTCTTCTTGCAGATTTTTTCTATAATCCGTCGATTAAGCTCAAATTGTCGGTTCGTCGGGCTCATACAATGTTGCCAACTAAGTGAAGAGATTCGAAAAAGTTTTACAGCAGCTACAAGAGATTCTCAGCAAAAACTCATTTCTGAATTGGCTTTTTGCTTTGAGAGGATGAAAGATGTCTTAAGGGTTCACACCAGGAATTTTTGAGGAGATACAAACTTTCTTAACCGAGAAGGTGGAGAAACTGTTCAACTAAATTCAAATCCACCACCTATATCATTCTTTAGCTCGAGCAGGAAGCTATGCCTTGAGAAAATCCGAAAAGCTGTTCGAGAATTTAAAATTATAAAGGTATATTGTCTTTTAATTGTCCAGCTAACTAACTGACCTGGCTAATTAATCGTTGACATCGACATGGATAACAATTACAAAGCTTCCGATTCTTGCTTCTGTCATCGCAAGTTTAGTCAACAAGAAACCGATTAAGAACAACAAAAATAAGAATCGTGGGGCCGTACAAGGCTTGCACGCAACCTAGCAACTTAGAAGCGGCAGCTATCGCACGGAAATCCCTAGGTACGATAGAGAGCACAGAAAAAGCCAAATGAACTTTCAATATCGCCACCAAAAATGGTTAAACTGAACAATGACCAACCTGTGTCGCATACGAGAGACCAGCAAAGAAAGAAGAAAAGAGTAGAAGACCTTCGTTCTGCAGGTGCATGAGGTCAAGTTATCGCTGCCTCGATTGAAACGTACAACTTGAAGTCAAACGTGATCTTTGGATATGTTTCAAAACACCAAGAAAAAAAGTTTGTATTGTCAAAATGCAACAAAAATTTAAGATACTCAATACAAAGTAAAGAGGACTGCATGCGAGATATAAGGCTGTGCGACAGGTTTGCATCTCAAAATATAGTCGCAGGCATTATGGCTCACAAATTAGTCTTCAAAACCTAGCAATTTCAAATCAACAAAAGATAAACGCGAGTAGGCACCATAGATGGTCATCGCAGACCCTTGAACCTTGCTCCTAGTAAAACAAATAATCAAAGGAGAGCTCAAAACGAGCAACTGCCAACTAAAAGGCATCCACAAAAGAAGATTGCTTAATAGCACTCTTTATCCGTTCAATTCAAAACGAAGTAATCGCACCAGCGGACGAAATGTGGCATTCACCTAAATGATATTAAACTAGTGCACAAGAAGCTATCTTGAAGTGTTTTTTTTTTGCAGATCTAATTAACCGATATGTGAGATATTCCGAATGAATTATTCAACGGCAGCTTTGACGAAGCTTCCCGTTCAAGTAAAATAATACCGTGGAAAGCAGCTGACCTCGTTCCGATTTCATCCCGAAATGCTTGTCGAGGTATATAAAGTTAAGACGTAATCTTGCAAATTTATTTAATTCAACTTATTTCTTGGCAAAAAGCCACAAACTATCAAGTTTTCGCAACAAAAAAGAGCAATGTGGCTCTCTTATATCTTCAGTAAGTTGCGAGCCACTGTCTCTCCAGATATATAGTTTATAAATAGGCTATTTTTTCAAGCTGATATCTAGGATTGTTATCATCAAGAAACAAATGAGTGGATCAGGTTTCGTGACTCATAAGGAGTCTTCATCATTAGATAATTCGAGCTTTGATGAAAAGAAGAAAAGTTCTGTAATTAAGCAAAACGAAACTCTGATTACTAATGAAAATCATGAAGATGAAAATTTTGAACACAATCTTTCTGCTGAATCTACAGGAAGAGGGTTAATTTCAAAGGAGGAGTATGAATTTTTGTCATCAAACTCTTTTTTTTCATTCTGGAGAAAAAGAAGACTTAAAAGTTCATTTGATTATGACCAAAAGACGTTGACAGATGATTCAATTGCTACTGTTGAATCGGTTTACGATAATCCTCAATTTGAAAATCAGTACATTCCAAGAGATGACTATGAGGGTATCCATCGTTTTGATCCTTCATTTAGGTGGAAATGGTTTGAAGAAAAGAAGATAATAAAAAGTTTAGATTGGAGGATTACAGCGTGGGCTTTTTTAATGTTTTTTTCCTTGGAATTAGATCGTGCTAACATAAAACAGGCTAATTCTGATAATTTCTTAGAAGACCTTGGATTGACAACGAACGATTATAACTTAGGAAACACGTTGTTTAGAATTGGCTTCTTAATTGCGGAATTACCAATGCAATTAATTTCCAAAAAGGTTGGACCTGATCGTTGGATTCCAACTGAAATGTTGTTGTGGTCTATAGTGTCTATATGCCAATTCAGACTATCTGGAAGAGCAAGCTTTCTAGCTTGTAGATTTCTCTTAGCTTTTTTACAAGGTGGCTTTATTCCTGATATCGTTTTATATTTTTCGTATTTTTACAAGTCTTGTGAATTACCCGTTCGTTTATCACTATTTTGGGTCTCGAATCAGTTATGTGACATATTTGCTTCATTTTTAGCAATCGGAATACTAAGACTAAGAGGAACACGTGGAAAGGAAGGATGGAGATGGTTGTTTTTAATTGAAGGGTTGTTGACCCTAGGTGTTGCCGTGAGCTCATATTTCGTTTTACCAGCAAGTCCTACTCAAACAAAAGCTTGGTATAGACCAAATGGTTGGTTCACTGAAAGAGAAGAGAAAATTGTTGTTAATAGAATTTTGAGAGACGATCCTTCAAAAGGTGGTATGAATAATAGACAAGCTGTTAGTTGGAAACAATTTTGGAGGTCTCTTACTGATTATGATTTATGGCCACTTTATATAATTGGATTGACTTTTCAATTACCAACTAATCCACCGGGTGCTTATTTAACACTAACTTTGAAAAGCTTAGGATTTAATACAACAGAAGTAAACGCATTGAATGTTCCAACGTTGGTCCTTTCTGTTATAACAATGCTTGGATTAACTTACTTAAGTGAAAGATTTGATGAACGTGGTTTCTTTGGAGTTTTGCAACCGTTATGGACTTTACCCTTAATTATTGCCATTTACGCTTTACCACATGACACTAATCATTGGATATTTTGGATTCTATTGACATTGTTTTTGGCATTTCCGTCCTCCCAAGCTTTGAATGTCGGGTGGTGTTCAATAAATTCGAACTCTGTTAGAACCAGAACAGTTTCCGCGGCGTTATATAATATGTTCGTTCAATTGTCCGGGATTATTTCGAATTATATTTACGTTGATAGTGATAAACCTTATTGTACGTATAAGAGACTTTTCGGATTCTATTTCAGATATTTACTAACGTGAAACCCTAGACGTGGAAGGAAATAGATCAATTATTGGGTTAACAGTTATGGTGACGATTATATATTTACTCGCTCGCTATTATTACGTTTTTAGAAATAAGCAACGAGAAAAAATTTGGTCAAAACTATCCCCTGAAGAAAGAAAAAATTACATGCTAAACACAAGTGATGAAGGTAACAAACGATTGGATTTTCGTTTTGCTTATTGAGTTATCCAATTGATTTCTTTCTAACCGTCACAGTTTTTTATTTCAAATTCCCCTATAGCGAGGTTTTTAAAGTAATATGCTTTTTATTTGACGTTATCTCGAATTTTTTCTGCCAATAGTTTGGAGTTCATTTCCTGTTGTACTTTTGAGTGGCTTCAAGTGAGCCGGGTCTGGAGGGGAGACCATCTAATTGTTCTGTCCTTCTTAATATGGAATCTGGGTCAAAGGACGAATCTTGTTTGTTTCCTTTTCGAAAGATGTCATGTAGCTTGATATCACTCCAAAGGTCTTCCTTGGTGCTTTTTATGATTGTCTTTTCTTGGTCCGTATTTTCTGTAATGATTGGACTTATTGAATTGTTATGTTTATTTTTGTCGTTTCATTTTTATCATTTTTGCTACTTATTTTAAGGGTAAGGGGGATAAATTTAGCACCGAGTTGCAACGTTGGCTCTATGGATGCTAGTTTGGAACGGTCCTCTATTCCTATCATATGTACGGGTACTGCATCTAAAAGGCCCGAGTCGTGTACGGAGCTAGTTTTAGGTACAGAACGAGACGAAGAAGTAGAGTAGGTCGTTCCCTTGTCACATTTTGTTTTCAGTCTTATTGTGTTTAGGAAAAATTTTTCACCGGCTTTCTTTGACCTTTTCTTTTCTGGTTTTTTCCTCTGTTGGACTCTCTTACGTTTGGTTTGGATTGATGCCGTTGCAGATTTGTAAGAGAGTTCAGCCAGTTTTTTTGGCTAGTCCTTGTTGAGGTCTCCCTTTGATATGGTCTTGACTTGTTAGACCTGGGAGGTTTCGACTGTGGGCCATCCTTCCTGGTACGGTTTGTCATGTTATTTCCATTGGATTTTTTGACATTCTTCGTACCGGAACTGTTGTTTCTGTTGTACTCTTGTTTATTCAGAGTATGACAGTAATGGCAACATGAGGACGTGGGAGCATGAATATCTCTAGTTTGCTCAGTAGTCATAACAGCATCTTTGAGTTGTGCTTCCTCAAACTTTTCAAGCTTCTTGATTGCTTTCTCGGTCTTATTCTTACAGAGATGAGTCTGTTTTATTTGTATAAAGTAGAACTCGTTTGTAAGTTCCGATAAAAGGTCATCGAGTTTTATCTTGAAGAGGACTTTCACTCTTTCCAAGGTTTCCAAATTTCTTTGGCCTGGATCGTACTGCATAGTCTCAATACAAGATTCCATGGCTTCCATGAGTCTGGATTTGGTATTGGCTTGCAGGTCGTCAGTGATTTGATCAACCTTTTTGATATTTGTATTCAATTGGTTGATTATGTGAGATAACCGCTCGAGTTCAAGTCTTTTCGTTAAGACTTCAACATTCGAGTCAATTTGGTTTCTAAATTGGTATCTCTTTGGTACCAAATCCTTTTGGTACCACCAGTTAAGAGTACTAAGTTTGAGTTTCTGAGTGTAGTGATTGACCAACTCGGACTCATAGTTAAGCTTAGACTCGTTAACGGTTTGAAGGATATCCGTCTCAAATAAGTGGTAGAGACGGGATTCAATCGACATATCTTGATGTCTATCCTGAATGTGTGACATTTTCGTTCTTTCTATTCCCTTTTTTCTTGGTTTAGGGATCTGAATAGCGTGGACTCTTGTCAAGGATGATATTAA